AAATCAGGAACAAAAACAAAGTTGTTGGAAAAGCTCAGCAGGTCTGTTCTGAGGAAGGGTCAACGGACCCGAAACATTAACTCTGTTTTATCCTTCACAGATGCTGCCAGACCTGCTGGGCTTTTCCAGCAACTTTGTTTTTTGTTAGGACCTTTTAGCTGTCTTGAGTCTGGATAATGGCAGCAAATACAATGGCTTGCAGGCCAGGATCCTGAAGACAATTTTAATAATTTGGCCGAGGCTTGGCACTGTTTTGGGGTTTTTCTGTGGACTGTCTTGAGTCCTTTTGTTCAGGAGATGTCCTGAGTGAGGCTATGACTGAAATAATGCTTCCCAAGCTGTCTGCCTGGCATGGATGTCCACTTACATTGGAGTACCCTGCAACCCTTATGGCCCACTTGCTGTACTTTCCAATGATAAAGCCAGCTGTTGTGCCTGTTTGAACTCCAGCTGGCTTTCAGCTAGTAGGTGCGTTTGCATGGCTACATCATTAATCCCAATCTCGTTGCCACCAAAATAACCCCACAGAAGCCAATATCCTGTCAACGATTCACCCTTTACTTACACATGCACACTTCTTGACTGTAGCACTGCATCTTCAGGGTCAGCTGCCAGAGTTCCAGAATCTCTGACACTCCTCTTTTTTATCTGTCAGCCAGGGCTCCCTAATAGGACCAGGTTAACAGCCTGAGTCAGGGAACTCAGACTCTGAGGTCTAGCTGGCGGACCTTGTTACAAATACTACAAACCCCAAATCCCCCGGCCCCAGCCTTGCTCTGCTCAACTTTGCCAACTTTGGTCCCTGCGCTGCGGCTACACCAACCTCTCTCCATGGATCAAGGCCTTACTAGCTTTGCCACCAGGTTCAGCCTGATTCAATGGTCCTGATCACCAGCCTCGCTCCCCAGGCCCCAGTCTAACTTCCAGACCATGGTCTCACCAGCCTCACTCCCCAGGCACCAGTCTAACTTCCAGGCCCTGGCCTCACCAGCCTCCCTTCCCAGGCCCCAGTCTAACTTCCAGGCCCTGGTCTCACCAGCCTC